AAGAGAAGATTCTCTGGAAGTCTGCGCTACATTGAAAGTGCTTCGCAAAGCAAAGCACAGAGTGTTCTTGTTGACTGGGTGGCACTCTCCTCTTCTACCTGCCCCTGTTTCGCCCCGTGAGAAGGTCCTCTAGAGGTTCAGACAGACAGACCCTGCTCCGAGGACGGCTGTGAGGAGGACACAGCGGGCAGTGGGGACAGGAGGCACGGGCACAGCCTTGTTCTTAACACGCTAAGCTGCCCTCTTGGCCCAGGTGGGCAGTATGTCCCCAATCTCGGTACCCCATCTCCTCCTTACCCCTTGCCTCTCCCATCCTGGTCCAGGCCTGCTTCTCTGCCTCTAGCCTCCTGGAGACATAGAGTCCTGGCTCTGCTTGACATCCCAGGGTCCCAGCCTCGTCCTAGCCCTCCGAGCCCCCATCTCAGCTGACTCCTCTGCCGAGCAAACCCTTTGGCTCTGGGGCCATTTGGAGCCTGCTGGGGCATGGTGGGGAGAAGCGTGAGCCAGAGGCAGCCCGGATTCAGGAAAGCCCCTCTCCAGCCCTTGCCAGCCTGCACTGTCCCATGTATCCTCCCAATCCTTGTGGATCTTATTTCACTCACTGGCTGAAATAATCTCCCCGGGGTCCAGGGGTGCTGGGGGCGCAGAGACAAACCCCACCACCAGAGAATCCTGGACCTCTGAGTAGAAGGAACCCCAAAGGTAACTCCTGCCTTTGCGTAGATGAGACATTATCGTTTGCAATTCCTGGTCAGGACAGCTCGGCTCAGAGAGGGAAAGCAACCAAGCAAAGGAATGTTCAGCTGCTCCTCAGCCACATACCTGAACTCTCCTTTTTCCGTCTGGTGGACTTCTTCTCCGTCTCGTGGGCAGTGCTCCCCAGGACCTCGTAGTCCTCGCCTGGGCCTCCCGTGGTGTCCACCAGGCCCGGGCTGCTGGCCCCCACGTCCCTGGAGCCCCCAGCTGGGCCCGGGTTGAGCCTGCGCCGGGCCTCTGAGACAGGGAAGTGCCAGTCGGGGGGCTGCGGGAAAGCGGGGTGCTGTTCAGTGAAGACGCGCTCCTCCCGGGGAAGGCTGTGTGGGGCGGCTGCCAGGCAGGAGGCTGAGAAGTCGGGGTACGCTGCCGTCGCCGTCGCCGGGAAGTCTGGTTTCTGGTGGAAGGAGAACGGTGTTGGCGGGTAGTGGGGCAGCCCCGAGGCCCCACTGCCTTCAGAGTGGGGATTTCGAAGGCAGCCCCAGACCGGGGCCGGGGGGTGGGGGCTCCTCATGCAGCTGCTGGCCACGGGATCCATCTGGGGGTCTGTCGTTGCACGCCTCAGTCTTTTCAAAGTTTTGATTCTCACGCTTTTTATATTCAAGTTTTGAACAATGCCAAAAAAAAAAAAAAGATAAATAAATAAATAAGAGGGGAGAACGATCAGCGGAAAATTCACCCCAGGAACCAAAACCAAAACGAAAACTGAAGTCTCTCCTTCAAGTAGGCACGCATGTGGCCGGCCACGCGTCTGGGTGCGGGCACACCTATGTCAGGCTTCACTCCTGGCCTCCTGCCCCTCCCCGACACGCCAGCCTGCCTAGCGGGGTCCCCTGTACGTGTATGTGTCGCCGATGACACTAAAACATTTTCACTGTGTCAGCCCAGACGCACCAAGCTGATGAGCGCTCGTCCTGGAGCCCGCAGCAAATGCCTGCCGAGGGCTGGACCAGGGCTGTGAGGCACACTTTTAAATCCTGCGGTGGGGAGAGAGTGACACATTTCTGAAGTGAAACATGAGAGAGGAGAGGGAGGGGTTAACCAGCACACACACGATCCCCTCCAACCAAAACCCCGAGCAGGCAACTATTAATCATCAGAAACCTTATATGCACATCTAATGGGATTTGCAGATGGAGACTTTTAAAGAAACATTGTCTGTATTGCGTTTTTTTAATTTTAAGGGGAGAGAGCAGTGCGCGCACACACACAACTTCTTTAATGTGCCTCCTGTACGCTATGAAGTTATTTTATTGCGCTGTTAACAAAATTCCCCAAGTCTTGGATTTGGAAAAAGCCTGAAGTCAGATCCAGAATCCATCAAGTGCCAAATTCCAGGGAGTGAAGCAGGGAATAAATGCAAGAGACAAGTTTGCTGATTGCATTTGATTTAAAGGCCCTTCTGCTGCTGCTTGCAAAAAGGAAGGTGGATTAAAAGAAATCTTTTTTTTTTTTTTGCAAGTCTCAGCGGCCCACTAGGGACTGTAGCATAGAGAAAGACACACTCCAGAAAAAAAAATTCTTTCTCTCTGCCCAAAGTGACATTCCCACTTTCTCAGTAACTTAAAAAAACAATCAGATTCTTCCTTCCGTTCTTTAACCCCAACTTACATGCCAATTAGCTACGATCTTCTCTAGGTTGCATGTGGGGGGCGGCGGGGGGAGGGTTTCAAGTCATTTTTCTCCACAGCAAAGGGAAGGTTTTTAGGGTAAGGTTCTTGACGTTTCTCTAGGCCCCCTAACCTTCACCCACCTGCTTCCCCTACCCCACTCCCAGAGGCCAAGGCTTCTGCGGAATCTAGGGCATGGAAATAGGAATCAGGGAGATTCTCCCTCCCAAAGGGGTTCTCCTTGGCAAACAATTGTATGGTCTTTCTGGCTGGTGCCTGTCACAGGACAGCCAACTGCCATTTCAACCGGTCAGTCGGTCTACTTAATCCCCATGCCCTGCTGGTCTCTTAGGAGGGTTAATATAATTTCTGGGAGGATGACATTCCAAGCACACGGGCCGAGCTCCCCTCCCACCGAATATTTCCACGGCCCAGAGCAGCAGGATCAGGACGTAACTGTGTGCTGGCCGGTTCCAAAGACGCCAGGAGGGCCCACGGGTCTCAGCCCCGCAGCCCAGAGGCCGCACACACATTCTTCATTGAATCGGCATGTGGTTTCTGGAATGGGCAGGGTGTCGTAGGCCAGGAGAGGAGGTGGGATCATTGCCACAAACCAGACTCATCTCCCTGCTTTGCCCGGGACTTAGCTGTCAGACACACATTTCTCCTCTGAACCTTGTGAATCTCCGATTATAGGTAAATTAGGAATCACGTTCTATATTTTACGAATGAAAGCGAGGCTCCAATAGATGAAGCAGCCTGTTCCGAATGACAGAGTGAAGAAAGGGCAGAACCAGGAGGCGCCCTCGGGCGTCCGGCTGTCCAGTCTGGAGCAGCCTGACACGCAGGAAGGAAGACGGACTTCGGGGTCAGACCAATGCGAGTTCAAACCCTGGGCCCGCCACTTCCCAGCTGCGCGCCCTGAGAGAAATCACCTCACCTCTCTGAGCTTCTGTTTCCTCAGCTGGGATGACAGTCCTAGCTGACATTCACCCAGTGATCTCAGCGCCTCACACATATTCCCCCCAAGGGATCCCCACCAAAGCCCTCTCCTCAGAATGCCCGCCCCACCCACAGCTGAGAATTTAAATGAATCGGTTCTGCGAAGCAGAGCCCCAAGTAGGTGATAGATAGATCAACACAGCTCCCTTCCTAACGTAGCCCCTCCTCCTTAACTCGAGGATTCCCAAAGGAGACTGTGGACAGGGAGGAGCACTGAGGAAATTCTACTGAAACAGCCTTGCGAGGTCCCTCGAGGGAGGCTGGAGGCTCGGGGCTGTGGGGGTTCTAGAAGGAATTCACAGGAGGCTGGGAGGAAGCCCTGGCCTGTCAGCTTCCCAAGGAGAACCTTCCCTGGGGGGCTGGCCCAGCGGCTGTAACCCGACTCCAGCTCCTCTGGCCTCCCTCGGCAGCTGGCCCAGGGAACCGGCCCAGGGAGGCCCAACCTGGGCCCTCACCCCTGGAAGAGGTGGGCCGAGGGGTCAGGGGGGCAGCGGGAGGGGGGCGGCAGGGGTGAGGAGCGCTGCGCTGGGCCTGGCACCCCCCTGCACCCCGGCGCCCTCGCAGCTGCCCACGTCTGTCAGCCACCCTGCGGGGTGCGGCCTGGGGGCCCCCCCTGCTGGCCTCTACATCTTCCTGACAGGCCCCTCTTCTGAGGCCAGGAAAAAACAACAGTCCCTCCCCCGACGGCAGCCCATTTGTTAGATGAAGGCCGGGCACCAGCACCTTTAACCTCCTCAAAGTCAGCATTTCCCCCTCAAGGCCCCCGCAGGCCCCCAGGACAGAGATGGATGGAAACGACCGTTTGTGGAAAAAAGCCCCGTGGCTCCGCGACCAAGCGGCCAAGGGGAGCAGGCTTTCCAGGAAGGGAGGGGACCCCGCTTCTGGCTGTTGTTGGGGTGGCAGGAGGAGGAAGAGGAAAAGCGTGCGTCAGGACGATGGTCGGCCGGGCCACACCTGAACCATCCCAAGGAACTTTTGGAATTTCCCCCATTGTGCGAGAAGACAGGCAGGCGTGTCCTTGGCGCCACAGACCCGCTTCCGCAAGCACGAGCTTGGCCACCCCACCCACCTGGGCCTGGAGCTTCGGGGGGTGTCTGCGGGGCGGGAGAGCCTGGGGCTCAAGGTCCGGCCTGGCCTTTCATCAGCTGTGCGGCCTCAGGCAAGTCACATGGCTCTCCCGAGCCTCAGTGGTCTCACTGGCAAAGGGGAGGTGACAGTTCCAGCCTCCTGTGGCTGCTGTGAGGAGAAACGACCTGATGTCCGTGACAAGAGTTGGCGCACATTAACCGGTGATACACGTGAGGATCCTTATGCCTTCCCTTTCCTTATTCTGCTGGAACACTGGGCAGGTCACATCTCCATGGAGGATGATGATGGCCCAGCCCAGCCCCTCAATCCCTTCTTCTACAACAGAGGGTCACAATCATGGCCTCGGGAACCGGGAGAGCATGGGTTCAAATCCCGGGTCCGTCATGAATGAACGAATGGCTTTGAGGAACTCACTTTGTTACTTGAGCCTCAGTTTCCTCGTCTGTCAAGTGGGGACAAACTTTTTCCCTTCTTCCTTAGGTTGCTGAGAGACATGTTGGAGGTGACCTAGGAAAGCTCTCACCGTTGCCTGCGATACAGTTTTTAGTGGTAGAATCTGGATGATGGTGATGCAAATACGTCCAACTGTTGTCTCAAGGACAACTCCAGAAGGCCCTGTGAAATATCTGTATGCCTCCCAGAGGGAAAAGATGATGCCCTTAGCAGCATGCGAATCGGACAAGACACCTGTTCCTGAGCGAGACCTTGAGGGATGGGACAGGAGACGCACATGCTTTGAATAGGGTGGAGATCGTTCTGAGTAAGGATGTTTACGTCTGGGCCTGTCCTTACGTTCCAGAAAACACCGAGTTTAACAGAGAGAGTCACCTCAGCGGAAAATGTTCTCTCGTGTGCATCTCTTTTCAACCTTTGGTGCTGACCCGCACGTGCCTGCTACCTAGATTGTGGTTGGCCTGTGTCCGAGCCCCGGCTCTTGGAGGTCATGTGACTTCAGTTCCCTTACCTGAAAAGCGGAAGCTCACTGAATAGATGAGGTACAGACATTCAGGAGGGGTTCTATAAACAGACCCCTTTCTGGGTTTCTGTGTCCCCAGGAGTTAGGGGCATGTTGATTTGCAAAGGTGCAGGATGGTGTCCCCCCTCCCCCCCCCCCGCCCCACAGGGATGGGACAGAAGACCTTGTGTCACCGAGGAGTGGAGGCAGCTTGATGAAAATAACAAAAGGGAAAACACAGAGTCTATTATTTTCCCCAATAAAAGGAGTTTGAAGTGGCAGTCGAGCCTGGGATGACCATTCCTCAAAGTCATCAGGCACCCCAGCATGGTCACTTTTTTTTTTTTTTTTAATTTATTTTTTTTGGAAGGGAGGGGTAGAGAGAGAGGGAAACACAGAATCTGAAGCAGGCTCCAGGCTCTGAGCTGTCAGCACAGCGCCTGACATGGCGCTCGGTCGAACTCATGGACCTGGTCATGAGTTGAGATCATGACCTGAGCCGAGGTCGGGCACTCAACCAGCCAAGCCACCCAGGCACTGCTCACGGTCACTTTTTCTGACCCAGACGGTCCCCTCATCCAGCTGGCAGTTCATGCTCAACTGTCACGTTGGCGTTCCAAGTGGCAGGAGGGAGGAAAGACAGAGGAGAGTTTCTTCATCTCTCTGCCCCATTCAAGGAGGCTTTCTGGAAGTCCTGGTTAACCACTGGTCTTCAGCCTCATTGGCCAGCACTAGTCACCTGGCCACCTGGAGCTGCGGGGGACACTAGCTCCCATAACCCTGCCTCTTCTTCCCTATCAGAAGCTGTCCTTCCTCAGAAAAAGGGTGTTGGGGCGCCCGAGTGGCTCAGTCGGTTAGGCGTCCGACTTCAGCTCAGGTCATGATCTCACGGGTCCGTGAGTTCAAGCCCCGCATCAGGCTCTGTGCTAATATCTCAGAGCCTGGAGCCTGCTTTGGATTGTGTCTCCCTCTCTCTCAGCCCTTCCTCCACTCACTCTGTCTCTGTCTCTGTCTCTGTCTCTCTCAAAAATAAACATTAAAAAAAAAGTTTTAAAAGAAAAAGGCGTTAAGGTAGAACAGTTACATAAAATACAGGGCGCCCAGTTAAGTATGTTCCCTGCAACCCTGGGGACATCCTTAGGCTAAAAATTAGTTACTGCTTATCTGAAATTCAAATTTAACTGGGCGTCCTTCCCGTGCCCCTTCTCCACCCCACCCAAATCTGGCAATCCTCCCCTAAGGCCAGACCCATCTTTGGGCTGGAGAAGGCTCTGGCCGCACCTTCTGAGCC